CTTCGTTATTATTATTATTATTTTTTTATTGTTTGTGTAACACACTATGTGTCTCAGTGTTATTATATCTTTTCCTGCCACAGGCCCACAGGAAGAGATTCCAGTTGGAATATGTGGGGCCTATGTACTCTGTTTTTATATATGTGTTGTCCTCTGTGTTGAATGTGTGTACATAAATAAATAAATAAATAAATAGATTCCAGATTTGACAATAGCTACTGTCATTTTGTGAAATAATGATACCACATATAATAGCGTAGTGATGAACACAAAAATCGATAAACAATCAGTGTGTGTGTTTTATAATAAATGTTACAAAAAGTGGCAGGATAGTGATCGCAATGACGGTGACAATTTATAAAATAACTTATTACCATAATACATCTATCTGTTTTATTTGTCATGTTCCTTTATGATTACATTTTTTTAGTTATTTCACACACAATTATAAAAGAAAAGTCTCATATCGTTAAGTAGTCGTCAAAACTAAATTATGGATCAGAAATATGTAATTTCCTGATAGCCTTAGTTTACGAGAGTAAAATTATAAACGAGAAGAATCGATCCAGAAATATTGCATTTCCATATCGAATAATTTCGCAACGTCACTATTTAGTACTTGTCATAACGTTGCAACACTGAAATTGTCAAATCTGGAATCGAATTAAAATTCCAAGTACCTATAGATAGAAAAACTTAGACTCACTAAATGCACCATAGATTTAGTCATAGACCAGACAGGATTAAACTGTGGAATGTGAAAGAATAAAGTACCATTTTAAATCTTGATTTTACGTTCCTGTTTTTACTTCTACAGGTATCATTTTGTATGTAACCTAATTTAGTTTAGCTATAAAATAAGCTTACGGCCTTTCGAGGCATGAATCATGGACATGCAAATCCTTACCCATTGTCTATGACTTAAATTAACAATCTGTGAACACTAAACATCAATTTTGACAGTTCACCACAGCTTTCGAGAATAGACGAGTGACGACGGCAGCGAATCAGCGAAAAGCATGAATTTTTGAATTCTTTTAATCAAATTTGACTGTGCTTGCCAGACAAGACATTTTACTACACATTCGAATAGTGTCGAAGGTAAATTATTATTCGGGATAAATTAGGTTTAGGGAACTACAGTTAATTGAGTACGATGCAATAAGAACGGATTTACTTTAGATTCAGCAGCTTCTCACCGCAATATACCTATTACAAATTTGTACGTGAAAAGAGTGTGTTATATAACCTTGAATCACGAGACTTCAGTATTGATCAGTTATATTTTTTGTGAAATATTCAAGTGAGAGTTAAACTTATCAGGTATGTAACTAATTATTTGTAACGTTAGTGTAATTCCGCATTATATGACGCAATGGGTGTAAAAAGAGGTTAGGAAAACTGGGGTATTCAGGTGTAGTTGCTGTAAAGTTTTCAGTAATTGTTAAATTAGAGTTGAAATGAAGATTATATAATCTTTTCATTATAGATAGATCATGTGTATAGAAAGTTACCACCTTGGGCCCCATGACTAATGACGAAATTGCGGACCTTTCTATTCTCCAACATTAACATCTGTTTTCATTGAACTGACGATATAATTACTCTCAACGTTACTAGGAATTATACATAAGAACTAATATCATTTTAAATGTCATTTTTCTTATTTCTGTAACTAAAAATTTCCTATTGATACCTCCAAAGAATCGAAACATCATGTTTAGTTAATCTTTCGAAGAAAAACATTTTCATTGTAAGTACTTGTAATGATATTTTGTCACATAAAAGTCACATGATTTCATTCCAATTGGAAACCAATTGAAAATATTTTACCAATTATTTTAAATACTGGTCTGGACCGTTTCTATACCATTAAGTATGTTGTCTTAAAAACAATAAAGTTTGGCTCATGTAAACACAAGTGATTTCTCCTATAACCTTGAACTATTTAATGTCTATAAATAATTTTAGAACATGTGAGTGCATCTATTTAACAATTTTGAATACCTGCCAAATTTTTATAAAGTAGAAAGTAGATTGAAAGGTATTATATGTACACAATTGTATTAATTATATTAATTTGATTTTAAATTCATGTAAAAAGTTGTCATATTGTTAGATATTGTGCCTAAACAGTTACAAGTAAGAAATATTTTGGTTGAATAAAGTGGGAATTTATTTAAATCCCTAAAGTTAAACATTTGATTAGTAAATGCTTTATCCCATTATTTTTAAAGGTCTAATCCATCATAATTTATTACATATTGATAAAAATATTATTTTAAGATACTTATAGGCATCACATTTAACCGATCATTGACTGAATGTGAAGATAATTTTAAAAATTCAGAAGTTTTCAATAGGTATATTTTATTAGAATAATGACAAGTAACATGTAATAAGAAATATTTAGTTACATGCCTGATTGTAGCACTAAGTAATAGTTAAACATAAAGTACATAAACACAATGATTGTAATATTTCCGTGTGCCAGTTATTTTGGCATTGACAGTGTTGTGTCCTAAATTCTCAAGTATCATTTATCTTTCTACTTCTTTTTAATGTAAAACATTTACATATCTGTTCTTGTTATAATCGTACTGAATCAAAATGTGTAAATTATTAATTTGTGAAGATTAAACAGTCAAACACTAAGCGGTCACCGGTGACCGCAACCTATTGTTCTATAATTGTGTCTATAATGACGGTACTCGACGAGTTAACTTAGATTAATCAATATTTTTGGTTTTAGTCAGTAGTGATTTTGTATATGTTTCATACATTTATTTATATTTTTAAATTATTTACATTATTGAAATAAACGAATGTAAAATTCATGTTAGATTGATTTGTATTCCATATTCCACTTAGTCGTTTTATTTTTGATAGCATTGTCAACCTGTAAACATGTTTTGTAACTTAATTTGAAGAATTATATGTCATTACTTGATAATAGTGATAAAGCAGGTAATATGATTGATATAATTTTTGTTTACAGATCTGACACTAGACTGAAACAAACATGCATCGCGCAAGGGTTATATTTCAACTGTCAAGTAAAGTTGGGAACAACGAACGGTTCGCATCATGGCTCCTAAACAAACCACAGGTAAGGGACATTTATTGATCTGTACCAATTTTATCTGTGGTTAAATTATTCCAGTTTTAAGAAAATATGTATTTTTTGGGTCTTTCTAATTGTGTATAATATTAATATTACCATTTTTCTGCTAATGTTTAATATGTACATGAATCCAATATCATCAAGTATCAGCAAATTACAAGACACATATAAAGTAAAAGTCATAAAACCTGTAGTGTAAGACTGATTATAATGAAGTTTCATTTGATACCTACTACAATTAATTAGTTTACGGGTTACGAAACAATAAGTTCAAGGTACTTTGTGGCCATGGTCGTATAACAGTAACCTGTGACTGCCGACCTTGTGTAGTGACGTGGTAGAAACTGTTGAAAAGTTAGTTATAGTCTAGGTTTAGACTAATCAAGATATATTTGAGGAAATCATGTGTTACTGACAGTGGCAGATTAGACAGATTAGACGCGTCATGATGAAGCGTTGCAAAGACAACGTATGCGTCATCGTCACGTGTTGCCCTCGGTACTTGGTACCAACTCGATCCCACCAGTTTACAAGCCCCATAAATTATAAACTTGTTTTTGTAACCAAGTTCAAGGGCACCACAAAATGCTGGGAATATCCCTTCGATACTAAATGTATGCAGATTATTGTTCAAGTTGTGGTAACTTGATACGTTCGGAACATTTAATGTTTTTATTTTTAAATGTTGCTGTCTTGCAAGCTAATCTTAACTAAAGTACCTACCAGTGCTTAGGCTTTAGACAAAAGTGCATAAGATCTGGGTTAGAGCTCACGTATTTTTCCTGTCGCATATCGCATATTCTGCGAAAAGGAAATAATTCCACGGCCGTTTAGGTACTTATTTCCTTATAAAAACGAAAATTTTAAAATAAACTCACAGTAACATTGTTAAAAAAGTCGAACCTTGAATATAAATAGTAACAAGAACAGCTAAAATACCTACGTTAATGATTAAACTGAAGTAGAAAGTGTTATCTGAATTAAGGTAGTGAATAGTAGTAACTTTCCCTTAATGTAGCATAATGGGGCTTATTATACTTATAAACGGAATTAAGTACTGGAATAACCATAAGAAGTAGGTCAATATTTCATCTTTATGAAGTAAATGCCATTCTCTTTTCCACAAATTCTTAGGAATGCCTGATAGATAGGTATTTAATTCAATTTCATTCGAACCATGCCTGGGCGAGGTCGTTTGGTGCTTCTATTGTTCCTATAATTAAATATCAGCTGTTTAATATAAGAGACCCTGGCATTATGTAAGTTCGAACTAAATTTCAGTATTTTGCGTGAAAGTGAAAAAATAGAATGAAAGTTGCATAAGTATTTTTGTATTTTTCGCCACCGACTCGCTGATAAATTCTCCTGTTTGTTTGATATTGCACGAGTATTGTTATCTGTTTCGAGAAATTTCAAGGTAGAAGTGTCGTGTTCGAACAAAATCTATAACAGACAAAACAGGAAATACGTAGAAAGAAAAATACAGGAAATATGATAAGACCTTAATTAAAAGTTTACTGCACATTTATTATTTGTATTATTGTAATAAATCATAAAAACAACCAGGTACCTACCTAGCTGTCATGCGGCTTTCGTAATACTATATTTTAGCACTTGTTATCTAGATCGTTTTAAAATAATTCCATAATTTTTTTCTCGAATTAACGACCAGAATAACTAGTCTTAATAGTATTCCATTCATTAATATATAAGAACCAACGTTTTCGAGAACATTTCATACTGCACATTATTGCAGATGTCTATTTGTAGAGTGCGATCAATAGTTTCGCCCGTGCCGACCGCGTTCTGTATTCTATGATAGGTCGTTGTATAAGCACTACAACTAAGTCAGTGTTGTCGTGCCTCCAACTGGCTGTATCGTATCTAGTAGAGACTATACTCTGACGTGACGAGACTGCCGAGCCCCTTTTGTTCCCCTGATAAACTTTGTTCTACATTCTTATCTCACTGCTAGCTGTTTTTTTAACCCAGTCTCGTTCAACCTTTACACTACATACATCAATTAGTAAGAAACAATACTATTGTCAACAATTTAAGTATAAATTTGTTATCTACTCCAATGCATATAGAACAGGTTTTGGCTTACAAAGACAATTGGAGGGCAGCCAAGCGAAATGTGTATGCCAGGAAAGAGATTTATTTTCATGTTTGAAAAATAAACGATGGTATTCTCTTCGATTGACGTCATGTGATGTAACTTGCACCGATCTAAGTACTTATTTGCAAAGTTGTTTTAAACATTTATAAAGTGCATTTCTTAGGAATTGTTTTGATGATCGTGATTGTTCAAAGGTTACTTATTATACTTTTTTGTTTATACAGACAACTGCGGGGTCAGTAGTCGGATATAGGCACAAAAGCTCGGCGGCTGCTGAACCCTTCCTCAATGGCTCCAGCTCAGCATACGTGGAGACCATGTACAACTCATGGCTCGCAGACTCCAGCTCTGTACATGCGGTAAGTGTCAATATTTAAGTTATTAACTTATTATTCTACTGGAGTTCTTAGCATTCACTTATTCAGTGGACCACCTCAATGTTGTTGGGTGGTAAATAAGCACTTTCCTGAGTAATGGCTAGAGTTGAAAATATACGTACATAAGTACTATAAGTAGTTACTTCACTACAAGACATTGAACCTTAGCTAATGATAAATAAACCTGTTACTAAAAAAAAATAATTAGCGTTAGATAGCAGTAATAAAATGGTACCGTGCCGCGGTTTTGTGGTATTGCGTCCTCCATACCGCTAGAAAAAATATTTCATAACAAAATAAAAAAATATATGAATCAGAACACCGGTCATATCCAGTTATAATTAGAAAAGATTAATGAATAATCTGATAATAAATTAAATAGATTAAACGTGTTTAGTGTATGCCTACTTTATTATTTAATGTTTGTCAAGTTCATTCTATTGATGATGATGATGATTTGATTTATACTACATAGATAATATAGAAAAAAATTGTAATTACGTTTTTTCTTAATATTTGATAAAAAGATTGCAATTATCTATGTTCTACGTAAAGCGAGTGAGTCAATCACCTATTGCGATCCGAAAAAAAAATTACATTGTAACAAAATAATTACACCAATAGACTACGACCATTACGTAATTCATGAAAGTGTAATAACTAGATAATAAAATTGACAGTAAAATATTTTAATTAGCATCTATTGTGTTTAAACAATAACAACTTGACATCAAAATTGATCACCAGATAAATTGATTGGTGTGTCCGTTAAGAACTAATTACACAGTTATCTATGTCTTACGAAAGAACTACTTTATCTACTGATGCTTAAGAATCGCATAAAAATAATATTCAGTAGTTTTTGAGTTCGTCGGGAAAGGAGACTAGGTTTTATAATAATGAAAAGACAAGATCATCTATTATTTATTTAACATTTTATTAGGTACTTATTTGTCACTCTTCTCAGTATATTGTGGTGATTAATGTGCGCAGGGTTAAATAGACTGTATGGCCGTTTCCATGGTGTAAGACGCAATCGCAAGCAATGCGCTTGTACACTCATAAATATTTATTTTGCGTGACACCGCCAGTATCTTATTTTACGATGACAGCATTGCGGACATTCTTATTTACGACCTAGATAAGATAAATTCAAGTTTTCAAGTATAAGACATATCTCTATTGTCGGGAATATCTAACAATCAAACAAATATCTCTCGATCAATGTGTGTTCCGCTTTAAACTGTTTGTGAATAAGATAGGTACTATAATGTCATTGCCAAACTAATCTGGGCTGGCGTCTGATACATTGTAATTAGATAAGAATTTGTGATTGACTTATTATGATAAACAAATAGTGAACGTCTGCGAG